GGCACTCGAGGCCTGTGAGAGCCTCCATGGTGCTGGGTGTCTGCAGCAGCCAGGCACGCGAGGCCTGTGAATGCCCTGGGAGATGGGGCCAGGATGGATGAGCACCTTGGGGAGCCACAGGAATGGGGGGTTGGACAGAGCCAGAAATGTCAATATTTGTTTTAAAGGACTCTGCAGGTTCTCCATTGCCCTCAAGATAAAGCCTCCACTTCTACACGCCTGCAAGGCCATGCCCAAACAGCCATTCCACTTCTCCAGCTGTGGCTCTTCCTTTCTCACTGCAAACTAGGACTGCTCCACACTGAGCTGGAGGGAGTAGAGTCCATGAGGGCACCAACAGGGGCCACCTGCAGCAGGTGTATGGGTGGCCTCTGCCTAGAACATGCCTCCCTAGCACTTCCAGCTCAAGTCCTTGCCTGGCATCATTCAGAAGTCACTTTGCCCTGGAAGTTTTCCCTGAATGGAGAATCAGCCCTTTCCTAACAAGAGTACCAAATACTAGTAGTTAGAAAAACTTAGTCTCCATAAACTGATAAATCTGAATACTGCACAGGACAAACACTGTGACCTCTTCCAAACAGCCTTCTGTTAAGTCTGCTGAAGACCCCTCTCTGTACCAGCTCATACTGAGTACTGCCCATGTCCCCTCCCCTCTGACTGGGTATTCTGAGGTCCATCCCTCCCTGGCTGACCACAGGCAACCCTCAGAAGAGGTCTCATCTCAGAATGTAACTGTTTATAGGACACTCCTGGTGTGGTAAAGAAAACAGATTTGGTGACCACCTGCCTCTGACTCTGGACAGCTCCCCCTTCTCTCCCAAAGGGTAGTTCCTGATAAACAATAAGTGTGGGCCTTCCACATGCCTTTGTGCCCCTGAACCCCCACAACTTGGGCAGTAGTCTCTCTGAGGGTCTCTAGTACCTTCCAGTGCTGTCTCTGTGACTGCACTTGGCACGTGGTATCTGTTGATTTAGTGATTTGCTGCCTGGTCTGTGACAGGCTATGCAACCTGAAGGTGGAGTGGTGATCACGGCCACATTCCAGCTCCTAGACTGAGCTCTGCAACAGCAGCTGACTGACTGTGGCATGTTACTGTGTACAGCACTGTTCTCTCCTTCCCAGGAACCACACTGAGTTCTCACAACAATCCCATAGGACTCGGACCAGCACACTTGCTTAGCAGATTTGGAAGCTAGGCAGCAAGACCACAGAGCTGAGCTCTGGAGCCAGGACTCAGACCTGGTGGCTGAATGCAAAGCCACTGACTCTAACAGTTGCTCTGAATGCAGCCTGCGGCCCCCTCCCTCCCTTTAATCTTCACTTCCTGTGTGAAGTGAACATTACTTCGTTGTCTCTACCTGCAAACAACGAACAATGTGCATGTCTTTCTCCAGAGCGCAGAAGGCAGTATGGTGAAGACAGAAGCACAAAATCCAGATTTTATTTTGTAAATTCTACCAAAAAAGAAAAGCCAGGTACAAGCATAGGGATTGAGTGTGCTGTGGAAGAGACAGTTAAATACCATGGTCCCCACACGTCAATTCAGCACAATGTAGAAAATTCAAACCCCCACTCAGTCACTTCACTAGTGACTGAAATTTTAAAACTCAGTTTTCCTTGTCTGTAAATGGGAACCGTAACAACCCTGACCTCACAGGTTGTTTTAGGCAACATCCAAGAGAGAATTAACACACAGCACTTAGTAGAACTTGCACATAGTAACTCTATGGTCATTTTTGCAATTTTATCTAAAATTAGGCAAGCAAATCAATTTAACCAAATTTACTTAATTTTATACAAAGCCACTATAGTTTAATAAAATGACTCAGCTATAATTTGAAGAAATACTTCAGGGACTCCTACAGTGACATTACAAAGTATTACCACATGTTGTCATTAACTAGCTAAATGAGGACAGTGAAACTCCATTCATCTATTTATTTATTCAGGGGGTTAAGTGCCTGAAAAGACATTTCCCCCACATTTAATTAATTTTGTTGACTAAATAAAGTATTAAGGTTTCATCGTTTGCTGCAACGATGAAAAACCACGGTGATTTGTTAAACACACATTAGTATATTAACTTGTATTACATGCTGAGTATGATGCTAATAATACAGAATCCTCCACCAGCACTAGCTCCACACTGAGGACCAGCATCTACTGCTGCTGTAACAAACAGGTATCTCAGACTTTCAGCAGCTGTTTTCATCACTGCCACAGACTATCTCCAGAATCTAATCCATGCTACCAGCAACATGGCCCAAAGTCACAAACTGAAACAGAAGTTCACAGAATCAGAAGGTTTTCCTTGCAGCAGAGACAAGCTGCCTCCAGGGGTTAATAAGAGGAAGTAGCAGTGAGGAAGCATCCCCACCCCGACCCCAGCTCCCCCCATCAGCCTGATGGGAACCTTTACCACTGGCAGGTCAATCCCATGCATCAGAGTGCACAGCACAATTTCACACAGATCTATGCCAGTCTCTGGGGCTAACTTCAAAATTGGTCTCTGTATTTCATACAGCCCATTAATAAAGCCATTTCTGGAGTTCTTCCTTTTCAGTAGTGTTATAAAATTATCACACACAGCTATGTAAGTGAACAAGAAACCCGCCCTATGACATGTCCACCTGGACAAACAGGCCTCCCACGGACTCCCCGGCACGCTTCATGCTCACCAGGGAGGCAAGTGCTGTGGTACAAACCACCTCAGGTGAAAGCCAGGTGGTTCCCCATGAGACACAAAGAGTAACAAGTAGGCGTGCAGACTCCATCAGGGAGACCAGAGTGTAATTCCATCTGCTGTGACACCGGGCAATAATGAACTTCTCTACGCCACACCTTCCTCATCCACGGATGGGATGATTCTCCTTCCCTTAACAGGCACTGTGCAGGGCTAGTGAGCTGGCCCAGCAGCTGACGTTACTACAGTGCCTCCACCCAGCAGCCACTTACTGACTCTGTGTTCTTGCTGTTGTGATGATGAACAGCTAATCTAGGTCAGTTTTGTGTTAAACTATCCCATAATTAGAAATAAAAGTTTTTTGGAAAAACTGCTTTCACATTTCCTGCCTTATGTGTAATTTATTGAAAATCTATAACCAAAATGTATCAAATTTATTTGCCCTTTCTTAGAAAGTGCTTCTTGTGTTTATTCAGCCATTGTGCTCCAACATGAGGCTTTGCTACTATAAAATGCAGAAGCTGGGCCTGTAGCCAAATAATCGTGTAAAATGAAAAGAAAAATAACAAGTCCCTAAACACAAGCATCCAGCAGAGAATAGTAAACCATGCTAAGAAAATAGCCCCACATTCTTTGGTGACCATGGTTCTCTTCTCTTTAAAACTGGGGCTAAGTGGGGATATTTTCAGGAAGATATTAACATGCCCGGTTAGCGGAAAAATACAAATCACTGCAAATAAAAAGTTTTAAACTATCTTATGGTGGACAATATTGAGAATTCTGTATTAATTTATTACTATGTACTCAAGGGGAAAAGCTAACTTAATTATTTCTTAGTTGCAGAAAGTCTAGAAAATAATTCTTTAGTGTATAATTTTCACTAATTTGTTTTAGATAGCTCAGGATTTTTTTCAAATCTGTACAGTTTTACACTAAAAATAAGTTCATTCTCATTACAGTGAATTTAGGTAGATTTGGGGGGTGAGATATAAAAGATTATGCTCTTAAGGTGGTAAGGAACAGAAGATAATTTACTTCTACTATGGGAACAGCTTAAACACTTAGAGGAAGTAAGGGCATGTCCCTTTAACTTTCGGGGCTGGTAGAATTCCTGGCTCCCAGGGCACAGTGCATAGCACTCACCCTACACAGTTCTGAACTGCCTGGAGGGGACGGTAGTCCTTGAGTTACGTTTTTCAGTTTGGTTCATTTTCCAGCATGAAGCCCACTCACCAGCTTTCCCCTCTGCTGGGCCGACCTGGTTTCTCGCAAGGTGTACACATCCCCACAGACGGAGATCTCACGCCAGATCCCAGGCTGGGACTCCTCGGTGAAACCCCCTCGCGGGTGCATCACCAGGACGCCGTTTGTGGTTAGTCCATCCATGTGGCCGTCGGGGTTTTTCCATTTTGCTGCCTTTTCCTGGAGAGCACACCACAGAATAGAAAAAGACTGCTAAGACGCCTTCTAACTCAGGGTACTCCGGAACTTCTTTAAAATGCCGGTGTGTGTGTGGGGGGGAACGAAGGTGACAAATTTTCATTTTCTACGTAAAGCTAGCAATTGCCAAGCCTAAAATATGCAATTATTCTGACAGTATAAAAGTGGTGCTAAAATGGATGAAAAATTTATCTCTGGATACCATTACGTTCATTTTAGGAGCTTAAAAAACCCTGACACCTAGGCCTCCTGCTCAGGGCTCCTTTCATCTTCCCTACTGGCTGCCTGAAAACTAAAATCTCAAAATGTCAAAATCTAAGTAGAGGCAATAAGCAAAGTAAATTTTTTGGCCCAAATTAAATGTTCTAAGACGACATAATAGTAGCTGATTTTTTTTTTTTTTTTGAAACAAGGTACTCATTAATAGTACTTACTCCAAGAAATATGTTTTTGGAAGAATCAAACCCAGCGGCGAATATCCGTGCTGTGTAAGGCTCGCTCCTGTCACATACGATCCTGCAGGCAAACCTGGATATGGTGCTTTGTGTGATCTGGGCTTCATCATTGTTCTGACTTCCTGAAATTGTGTCTGTAACAACGAAGTCTATAGGGCTTTCCGTTGATCTGCCCACCTACACAGATCAAATGCATTCATGATCTACTTGAAAAATAATCAGCTTAAAATATTTTCTTCCCATGGAACGGGTGTTCCAGACACCTTTATTATCTTAGCTTCAAGGGTCAGAATTTAATGAATATTCTCAGTTGTATTTCTTTTCCTATTTAAGGGAGATACTATGGCAAATAGCCATTAAATTAAAAAAAATTTACTTTATAATTTTATTTTATTGCAATAAGAATACAACATAAGATCTACCTTCTTGAGCACACAGGCAGGACAGTAACTCTCTAGAAACTGTTCATTTTGCTTAAATGAAACTTTATGCCCACCGAGTAGTCAGAATTTAAGTGTTCAGAGAAAGCTCAATTAGAAAGAAAACATTCGATCTTCCACCACACACAGGATTTTATCTCTTGGATCCAGGAAGAAATATCATTTTCACAGCAAACTATTTTTTTTTTTTCTAATTTCACATAGAAAACTCCCAAGATTTTAAATAACAAAGGAATTCTTCCTCTCACTCTCTTGCCCAGCTCCAGAGAATGGTTTTCCTAAGTGAATCCAACAGTGTCTCATAGCACTGAACAGCTTAACCCAGAGGCGGAAAAAAAACAGCGATTATCCTTAGCATGTATGAGAATGTTACAAAGTTGGCCCAAAGTTTGGGATATAGCCAGCAAGAGATTTTAAAAGCTGGCCTTAGCATTTCAAGTTTGAGTTTTTAAAAAACTCTTCTTGGGAAGTCTAAAAAGTTGCCAATAATATTATAATGGCTTACTTTTCTAAGTTTAAATGTGGCCAGGAAGAATATATTTCATTAGGAAGGTCTTTAGAGTTCGAACATAGCTTTTCCTAGTCCATAATTTGATATTGTTCTCTTTTGTGAGCTAGGAAAAATATTTGTTTATAGATAAGACAATCCTTGAGATAGAATAGTAAAACATTTATGTAATGCTTTTCTATGACTCTTTAGCTGGAAAACAGTATAAATGTTTTATGTGCCAAAGAGACTTACGTTAAAATCACTTATATGTAAATGCATAATTTCTTGCTAAATACAGTACTAACGATCTATCCTAACAACAGTAACTTTGATTTCCAAAGCTGCCAATGAGAGGAATGCAGAGCTTAGAGATGGATACCCCTAAGGCCTCCAAAAGTCAATGTCCAAGGTATTTTTATTCTGATCTCAAAATGCTGCCTATAACACAGTGTAATACATCTTTTATCCAAGTGGATAAAATGAAAAGAATCTTGGGTCACTTAGCTCAGCTTGCTTCCTAGAATACTGTATTTCTTCTGTAAATCTCACACATACATTCTCAATCTCAGACCTATCTCTTTAAAACTAACAGACAGCAGACATCTATTGCTCTTCACACCCCTTAATTTCTTGTACCTGGAATAAACTAAATTCATCAACTTGAACAAATGCATATTGCTTTAGTATGAGTTTAATACATGTGTTTCAGATTCAGAAAACATATAACTTGTTTAAAAATGCAACATAAAATCTAAATTAGAGATGTTATAAAATTATGTCATACAATTCATCTCTCCAGAGTTGCAAAGTCTTCCCACTGCTGGATTCATTTAAATACTGGATGTGTAACTCAGAAGCTCTGTGGATTCCAACTGCTGTAATCTTTCCACAAAGCTTTTCCCAAAATACTTACTTCAAAATATTTAACAAATACAGAAAAGTATAAGGAGATAATGAACTCTGAATTCAGGAATAGTCTATCCTGAACCTCTACTCCATCAATGACGTTTAGGAGTAAAATGTGAAAAATTCTGAAATCTCCTACTCACCCCCAGATCTGGAGCCCTACAATGACACGGTCTCTGTCCTCATTTCTGTCAACTTCCACAGATGGGTCAAAAACTTTTCAAGCTGTTACAGTTAAAATCAGCCTCTCCTAAAACGTCCCACAATTGCTCCTTCCCGTCTACAGAAATTACTCTCTTCTAGAAGAGCTACATTCTGGCTTCATCCAAATGAGTTTCTCAAACTCTAAGAACCATTTTTTATTACTGTTTTCTTTTATTTTTAGAACTCTAATCTGTCCCTGATACCTTTAAAAAACACAATAAAAATGATTACTACCACAATGATAATTTGCTTGGATGTTTCAGCAATACTAAGCTGCTATAAAGCTTGCCAAATGCCTCCTCTGAGTTCCTGCACTCATCTCATTCTGTATGTGATAAATTGCACAGCAGAGCACAGCTTGAGTGACCTTGCTCTGGACAAGTCTCTTGCCTTTAAAAATACGTTCCTTTGTCTGCAGGCAACCACCAAGCTCTAGCCCCATTTCCCTGCTTCAGTCGCAGTAAGGGTCCTTGGAAAATCTGTCACTAGGTGCCTCCTCCGTTTCCTCACCCATCGCTTTAACTTCCTTCCTCCTTAAGCCACTCTTCTCTTTACCCCAGAAAACAATGAACAAAATCTTATTCTGACTATATTAACTCAGATTTAAATTCAAACCTAGCCTTGATCTTTTTCTCAGGGAATAATACGTTTGCATTCTGAGTCTACTCCGAGTCCACTGTGGGAAATGCAGCCCAAGGCCCTTTCTGGTCCATTCTGATGTTCTGCTTTTAAATACTCAACATAGAAACCACTTGAGTAGAAATGGCTGAAATGAACAGCCCTCTACACTGAGTCTCCCTTGGGAAATGGGAACCTTGCAATCTTTCTGCTCAGCAACTTTTGTCAGTGGTGGCTTCCGACATATCAGCTTGTTAAAATGAGGGAAAAAAAATAAAACAAGCTTGTCTTTTCAAGGTCTTTCAAGAGCTGCTTAATTTTCTGCTTACAATGGTCTGAAATTAACCCTCCAATATGTCTAGTTAATCTGTGAATAGTCAGGTTACTTTAATAAAAATAAAAAAAAGTGTTATGTTTTCTTAAGAAATATATAAATTCTTGTTTGGCTCACCATGCTTTATTTAAAGAGGTCTGAGTTGGTACTGTATAGAGAAGGAAGAACTCAGAAGACTGAAACTTAGTTCTGCGGCTAATGCCTTTTCTGACCTTAGTCTGAATTACTCTTCCTTTCAAAGACCCAGATTTCTCAGCTGTGAGAAATACATTGGTGTTTCTCAGAACATGCTCCATGAACCCTGATAAATCTCTGAGATCCATCAAGGGGTCCAGGTCCTACAGGCAGAAACTGCTTTCATAATAATACAAAGATGCCAATTGCCTTTTCCACTGTGTCAACCTCTGCACAGATGGCCCTAAAGTAACGGTGCTGAAATTGTGGGCATGTCAGCAGGAAGCAAAGCTGTGGCTGCAAACTCTCCTCAGTCTCTGTATTCTTTGTTGCTATGAGCTTCCAGTTTAAAAAAAACTATTAATTTTATTAAATCTTTAGTGCTTTGATATTCTGTGTGACAAAATAGAGAACACTCAGAAGCTACTAAGAGGAGGTTTGCGTAGACTGTGACTGTGTAATAGTGAAGAACACACTGCTGATGTCACAACATGTCACCAAGAATACTATGTCAGACTTTGAAAAATTACTAAGAAAGAAGATTCTCCTGAAGGAATTTAATGCCTCACACTTATTACGCGTGCTGTGACAGAAGGTTGTTAATTTTAAATGGAAAAAAAGAATCACTGACAATGGTGAAATATTCTTGATTCATCTTTTTTTTAGTATTAAGAATCTTCTCTATGCAAAAAAAATCTAAGAAATCTTTACTACTACTATAAGTAGTAAAAAGAATTCTTATAATTAAAAATGCATAATTTTGTCAAGACTTAAATAATCATTATGAGGCTCCATAAAAATGTCAGCAGGGAAGTAATGCACATACTTATTCAGGAAGAGATTTTCTTTGCCAGAATAAGAAAAGACATTTGGAAGAGAATGAACCGGAGCCGCACAGAGTGAGCCACTGCTGAGATTTTGCCCATTACCACATTCGTCACTGGAGTGACGGGCACACCAAAAGCCCGACGCCATCACTCTGCAATATAAACACGGGATGAAATTCCTCAGGTGCACCTTAAATCTATTAAAATAAACAAAACCTGCAAAAGATTACAATGTCTGCCTTGCTATATTCCCTCCCTTGAAAAAAAATTTTTTTTTCCTCTCAAATATGATAAATCTTACTCCTGAGTTCACACTGGCACTTAAAAAGCTGTGTTTGTATCTATGACTATAACTATGCCTGTCTTTCATCTGTCTGTCTGTTTAGGATTGTTTAGTTTTTTTTAGTAGCTAACACGTTCATACGGTTCCAAATTATAAAGTATAAAACAATTCCCTGTCCTGTCCTCTTCCCTACAAAGGCAACTACATCATTAATGTCTTATTCATCTTTTTGGAGATTATTAATATATATGAGTATTATTTAGATCATTTAACAATACTAATTCAATATTTAATAATGTGATATTTAATATTATTTAATATATTAAGAACATTAGTTTATTAATACTTCAATCTTAACTGAATATCTTATCAATATGACTGCATTTATTGAATAACACTAACATTTAATTCATGTGGCAGGTTTGGAGCTATGTCTGTGTCTATACACAGAGCTTTTCCCTGGTTTTGTTTTGTGGCCTTGGGAAACTCCACTACGCAATTGTACCCAAATTTACTGAACTGGGCCCTTATTGAAAGACATTTCGATCACATCCAATCTTTTCCTTTTAAGCAATGCTTTAAGCAATAACTTTGTACAAACAACATTTTACACATTTGTAAAGATGTCTCTCAGGTAAGTTTCTAGAAAGGGGAGAGCTTTACAAAGAGAAGAGCTGAGTCGAATAGTGCACACGTTTTGTATTTTCATAGGTATTTCCAATAGAAATCACTATCCCACAGAGTCTGGGTACCAAATCGCAGGGCATAGGAGACTGTCTGTTTTACTTATGACTCTGACAAAAGCTTTTGAATTTTTGCCGATCTGGTAAGTGACAAGTAATATCTCTATGTGATCTTAATTCACATTTTTCTTTTCATAAGTGAGGCTGAGCATATTTTATTTTTAAGAGCTACTATTTCCATTTTTTTGATGAGTTGTTATCTATGCCCATTCATCTATTTAACTGCTGTAGGTATTTTTCTTACAGATTCCTAGGAGTACCTTATTAAATTTGGGACTTTAACCCTTTGTGATAAGAATTGTCAATATTGCCCCCCTTTGTCATTTGCCTTTTATTTTGGTCACACATTTAACTATCTAAAAAACAAAATTTATCAATCATTTTTTACACAGTTTGTGTGTTTTGTCTCATTGTTAAAAAGTTCTTCCTTGGTTGACGTCATAGAATATTTTCCCATTTTTTCTTAGTACTTTTACTTAATTTAAAAAAGATCAAGGAACTATTTATTTTCCCTTCCCCTCCCACCCTTCTTTCTTTTTAATAAAGAAAGCATGGGGTGTTTTCTTCTCAGCAGAGTGCTGCCCTCCCCTCAGGAGTTCTGCTGAGCAGTGTCTGTCTCCCAGTTACTTCTGAAAAGGCTTATGTGTGGGGTGAATTCCTACATAAAATTAGCTAAATGAACTGTGCTATTTTAATTCCAGAAACTGAGTGAAAAGACTCATAGGTATTGTGCATTTTTTTTTTTTTTTTGAGACAGAGCCTCAAGCTATCCCCCTGGGTAGAGTGCCATGGCATCACACTCACAGCAACCTTCAACTCCTGGGCTCAAGCGAGTCTCCTGCCTCTGCCTCCCAAGTAGCTGGGACTACAGGCGCCCGCCACAACACCTGGCCATTTTTTGGTTGCAGCCATTATTGTTGTTTGGCGGGCCGGGGCTAGGGATTCGAACCCGCCACCTTAGGTGTATGTGGCTGGCGCCTTAGCCGCTTGAGCCACAGGCGCTGAGCCGGTATTGTGCATTTTTGTCGAGGCCTAGCAACCTGGGAGAGCACAGTGGGGGCCTGCAGGCAAGGCGTAACAACCTCCTGCATGGAATCCTGACTTATACAGTCAGTCAGCCTGCTAGATCCCATCTGTGCAGGAGACATGGCTCAAAGGTTGATGTGAGTGAAAAATCCATCGTAAAAGCAGGGGGCTTTCAAACCACAAGAAAACCACAAGAGTCATTGAGCCTGCTTCTCAGAAACTTAATTGAGTGCATGAAAGGAAAAAGGTTTTACTTCTCTGTCTTGACCTTTAACTTTAATAATGGAAGTCAGATAATGTAGGGTTGTTTTAGGTCTTTAGAGAGGAATAGATTGAGGCTAGTAATCTTACTTTCCCGGACTTTCTGTCTTTTCTATAGTTTAAAATAAGAATAGAGAATGTTAAGATTATTGATCAATGTGGTATATGTGATTAGTTTACTATAAAAGGTGATTGTGAATAAAGACATTTTGCTACTGCCACCAAGAGTAGTAGTCGTTTCTTGCTTTTATACAATTCCAGGAGCGAGCCTGTACCTGTGGCCAAGCCGTCCTTCTCTCCCCTCAAGAAATCACCACCCAAAACTTATGCATGTAGGTTCCATGTCCTCTTTAAATGTGCCTTTATAATTTATTTTTATAATTTAAGAATTATGTTTTTTGCTCATCTTCCAAAAACCAAACAAGAGTAATTTTGCTTTTACCTTCATTTCTTTTCCCCTCGACATCACCACGCACCTCTGTACTAGAAGGTCTGATTCCATATAGGAATACAGAACTGAAGGGGAAATGTGCTGAAATTTCTGTCCAAAAAGAAAGCTGTCACCTGAAACATGTCCGTGTCTTTATCATGCGTGTATTCTACCACCACCGTCTGGTTCCGGGACAAGGTGTAGGATATGCTGTGTTGACCTTTGCAGCTGATGGCCTAATAGTGAAATTAAAGAACAGAGAAATCATTACAATCACATCTTAACAATGTCCTGCAATTCTGCTGTAGTTAAGAGCCATCACTCTGCTAGCACTTCCCAAGAGGTAGCCTGCCCTTGTGCTGTATCCCCTGATCACAGAGGAGCCCATGGTCACCCATCTGTTTTCAATAAATGACCTATCTTTTATTTTGTTTTATTTTATTTTTTTGAGACTAAGTCTCACTATCACCCTGGGTAGAGTACTGTGGTGTCACAGCTCACAGCAACCTCCAACCCTTGGGCTCAGGCTATTCTCTTGCCTCAGCCTCCTGAGTAGCCAAGGCTAGAGGCACTTGCCACAACGCCTGGCTATTTTTCCTTGCAGTTTGGCTGGGGCTGGGTTCAAACCCACCACCCTTGGTATATGGGGCCGGTGTCTTACCCACTGAGGCACAGGTGCCACCCTAAATGACCTATCTTAATGTAAACAATACTTTAGTTAAATCAAAACAAAGTTAGTTTACCAGTCCACAACACTAGATTTAATCACATTATTAGAAAAATTTGCTTTCTCTATATTATCTAAACTTAGAATAGCATTTGTAGACTGATACAGTGATTTATTTAAAATTTTAAGATTTGTTGCATACAACAGATGAATCAATAATATTTTGTTCTCTTATTTTCCCCTGGTGATAGAGATTACAAGCATGGTTGAAGAATTGTTAAAAAAAAAAAAACCATCAATTTCTATACAAGTTTCTTTATAATAATACTTTATAATAATGTCTTCGACAATGATAACTGTACCTACAATCATCTCTTTTCTATTTCATTTAAACCTTGTATAAGCAGTTGCTTAACCCAGATACTTATTGAATTAATAAATAAGGTAGCTAACTTTGTTTTTTTTCTGTTTTTAGACTAGAAAAAGCTAATATTCTTCTTAAAATAATCTAGAAATAATAAAAAAGATATTTTATACATAATGATATATTTGAACACATCTTACGTTGTAGTCACACATCCTTTTAATATTTCTAAATTAACAGAAAAATAGATTTAAACTGGACTCAAATCATTTCAATTACATTTTATCCATTCTACTTTAACCTAATTTATCTTAATTTTCATTCTTTTACATTAAGCACAATAAATAAAACCTTAAGGCCTGTCTATTTAGCATTTATTGAATGGAAACACGGTATGAAGACCAAGAATGCATCTGGAAACAGATGGCCACAAACAGCATGTTAACAGAAATGTACCAAACACTTACATCTGACTCATATAATTGATTAGAACAATAAACAGTTCAACATTTCACATCAGCCTTGAAGTTAGCCTGCTTAGTCTCATGGCTATTTAAAATCTGCCTTTAGGAATGTCAAGATTGAACTAATGTTTTATTCTATGTTCTTAAGATAAAACAAGTATTAAAAATAATATCAATCTTTAATATGATTGGAAATATAAAAAATACTTCTTAAACTATTCAGCACCACTAATAAATATAATCTTAAATTTTCATTGGTCTGAGTAAATTCAATGGTAGTCACATTTTCCCTAAATTTAAAAAGAACTATTTCCAACTTAATGGCACAGTGGATGTGGTTCTGTGTCACTCTGACCAAGGAATTCTATTCATTGCACATGTTGTGTGGATTTAGGATACCACGTTGTATACTTTGAACATAGGTCATTTTTATTTGTCAATTATACCTCAATAAAGCTGGGACAAATTAAATTTGAAAAAATAGACAGATGTTTATTCATCTTTATAAGCAGGGAAAAAAGCCACTTTAAGAAAAATAATTTATTAGACTCAAACTTACAAAATTAATAATCAGGGGGTGATTATTTATAAAATAATTTAAGGTTATCTATTACATTTTATTTTATTTTATTAAATCACAGCTGTGTACATTAATGCAATCATGGGGTATATGTGCTGGTTTTACATTTATAAGTACTTAAACACAAAATAAGGCATTAACAGGTACATACCAGAAAACCTTTTAGAAAGTTACTAGTTTTTATATAATGGTGCGTCCTACCTTGGAAATATCTGGGAGAGCAACCTCAAATTAAGTTTCTCAAGGGTAAAACATCTTACCTTAAATATAAATTGTTTCCTCTTCCGTAAGATGCTTGCTAGTTCTAATATTATACTTTTATCCCATGTGCTGGGAAGTCAGGGCCTCAGGAGCCTAGCTATGCTCTCCCTGGGGTCTGGCTCAGCCCTGCCCAGGGCACCCTGGAGATACCAGAAATGGCCACTGTATAGAGCAAGGTTGTCCCTGGAAACAATTCATCCAAGGTGTTCATTCCAGAAATACTCTTGGGAGTCAAACTATGAGCCTATGTAACACATGAAAAAGGATAATTATGGGGCAGTATCATAATACCTGGACACTGTCCTCAGCAAGGGGAGCCTTGCCAAAATCCACTCCAAGGCCCAGATGCTGAGCCCAGTTAAAGAGCACTTAAAATTTTAACAACATTTATGTTGCTAAAGGCAATGGCTAGGGCTAAGAAAGGTGAATGCTCTTGGGTTAGTTTTTTACACCTTTTTTGATGAACAAAGTCCTAGCTGAGGGCTACGGTTTGGAGCCTGGCAGGGTGGCTGAGGAGCTTAGCTTGGTACTCCTGGTTCTGGCCGGGGTTCCAGTAGCAAGATTAGGTCAGGAGAAGGTCCTGCCTGTGGTGCAGCTGCCCGGGGATCTCACCCGGCTGAGTGCAGGAAGCAGAGGGGTGGTGGTGAGTAGCCTGAAAAGATGGAGACTTAAATCAGAGTTGGGATTTAGAGCAAAAAGGTGGCAGGCCAAGTCCTCAGGCCCCCGGCAAGGACCTTCAGAAAGAGATGACAGAGAACTCAAATTAATCAGCAAGAGAAGAGTACACATTTCTAAGTGGGCAAGAGACTTGAACAGAAACTTCTCTGAAGATGACAGGCAAATAACTAACAAACACATGAGAAAATGCTCATTGTCTTTAATCATCAGAAAAACTCAAATCAAGATACTCTGAGATATTGCCAACTCCAGTGAGAATGGCCCACATCACAAAGTCCCAGAGCTGCAGATGCTGGTGTGGATCTGGACAGAAGGGAACGCTTATACACTGCTGGTGGGACTGCAAATGAACACAACCTTTATGGAAAGAAGTCTGGAGAATCCTTGAAGAACTAAAAGTAGACCTTTCATTTGATCCTACAATTTCATTACCAGGTGTCTATCCAGAAGAACAAAAATTATTTTACCACAAAGATATTTGCACCAGAGTGTTTACTGCAGCTTAATTTATAATTGCCAAGTCGTGGAAGCAACCCAAATGCTCATCAACCAATGAATGGATTAACAAATTGTGGTATCTGTATACTATGGAATATTATTTAGCCATTAAAAAAGAGACTTTGCATTGTTTGTTTACCTGCACAGAGCTATACACATTCTTCTGAGTAAAGTATCTCAAGAATCGAATGTACTCAATACTTATACGAAACCAATAAATAAACAATTACATGCCCACATGAATGATAAAACACAAATATTGTCTAGCGAGGAGGCGGGGTGAGGAGGGAGAGGTGAGGAAGAGGAATGAAGGTGACTAGTGGGAGGAGGGGGGCAATTGGTGGGATCTCACCTAATGTGCACCCCCTGATGGTGTTCAGCACACCCCTTGAGTGGCTTTTCTACAATTTGGACTTTACCTTGTAAGTGAAAACAATGTAACCTAAAAATGTGTACCCTTATATTAATGTGAAATTTAAAAAAAAAGAGAGAGAGAGGTGTGGCTTCTCTCCATCATCTGTTATGGCTCACATGACCTTGTTTGCATACATAGGCATTCCCTGGGTTATGAACCAGACAGGTTAGGTAGCTTTGTCCTAAAGTTGACCCTGTATGTAAGCTGAAACAGGTCCATTTACCTATTACCTGTAATAGCCCCTGTTTGTAAGTGCAAGTTATAAGTCAGTCAGATTTTTATAACTTGGGGACTGCCTGTACACAAGTCTAGGTGAGGGTCAGATTTAAGTGGGTGGGGGCAGTTAAGAGGTGAGTGTAAGCTTAAGACCAGGTTTCACTTTCTTTCCTGGCTCATGTCTTACAGAGAAGTCTGCAAGGACATAATGCACTCTGTGTTTCTCTTCATTTTTGGTTAGAAGAATCCATTTTAACGACAGTATTTTTTAATATTTAAAATATGACTTCCAGAAATACAGCTTCTAGAAAATTGTAGAGTCAATGTCTGTAGTCAATTCTTTCAGCTATTTTGGAAATAAAAATTTCCCCATGCTGTTTTGAGAGTAGATGTGGGCTTCTCTTGCGGTTCCCTATAATTTAGTTACAACACAATTACTCTCACATAAGGCTGGGGTCCACTAATGCACCCTTAGAAACTGAGCTTGTCCACTCTCTGTGGGCCAGGCTGACAATGCTGGTCTTCTATCCCCACTTTTCTGCTATGGGGCTGGTAAGAAGGTTGGGCCCTGACTTGGCACTCTTACCATGACCTGTGCCTCAAAGTCAGGTCCAGTCCCACTTACAGTTCCAGACGCAGCACCACAGCAACCAATGCAAGCTTGATGTCCCGTGGATGAATGAACAAACTGCTCCAGCTCACGTGGGACGCAGAGCCTCTTTCTTTGAGTCCTCCCCTGGCTCTCCTTGTTTCTCACTAGCAAAGAAGTGACGCCTTCTGCTAAAACGTTTTGAGTCTATAAAAGCTACTGTATTACCAGTATTAATTTTGTTGGATTAAAAATACACAGTTAGGAAATTACAGATACAAAGATTAAAGGACTCCCATCTTAATCAGTATAAGAAATTAAGCATTACTGGGCGGCACCTGTGGCTCAAAGGAGTAGGGCACCGGCCCCATATGCCGGAGGTGGCAGGTTCAAACCCAGCCCCGGCCAAAAACTGCAAAAAAAAAAGAAATTAAGCATTACTTTGCAACCCCAGATGCCTAAACCAGGTCTGAGCAAGACCTTTTCTTCTTGGCTGAGTTCTGC